CCCGCCCGCCTTGGGCCCCGGCTCTGGGGTGCTGCGGGAGGCACCGCTGCTGGGGGGCTGCGGCCCTCCACCGGCCACAGTGCCCCGCTACCCCGGACGCACGCGGCCGCCTCCTGCTCCGGGAGGGGCCAGGGTTGCCGCACAGGCGCCCGCGCAGGATGGTCTCCATAGGCTCCCGGTACGGTGCTGAAGAAGCCGCATCCCCAGCAGCAACGCACCAAATTTATCCTCAATCACACTGTTCCTTACAATTAATAGCAGAATTAGAAACAATCAGGGAGCTGCCTAATTACTGTCAATTAGAGCGCGCTAATCAAGCTCCGATCACACACACACACGCTGCCGCTGCACTCACCATTAAATGTCAAATTTCATTAGAGACCAGCAACAAAATCAAAAGCCTGACATTCAATTTCAGCGGCGCACACGGCGCAGGCTTCCAATCAGCATAAAAATGCAGACTCCGGGGAAGGCAGCGCGGGGCGCGAGTCGCTCCACTGTTAACCCTCTCCAAAAGGCGCCCCCGCCTCGCCTGCCCCGGCTGCCCACACGGGCTGGGCCATGCCCCTGCCCCTGCCCCAGGTCCCGATCCCGATTTCCACGTGCCGCAGTGGCTGGAAGCTGGAGGCAGGCAGCAGGAGGGACCCAGGACTCCTGTTAGCAAGAGGCAGCATCTGGGCAGGATTCGAGGGAGCTGGATCCTGCTGGTGGCTCTGCCCGGGACCCCACACTGCTCCCCGTCCCCTCTCTCACACCCCACCCCACGCAGGCCGCGCTCCCTGGGGCTCGGGCTGTGGCTCCTGACCTGTGTGCAGGGCCCTTGGCAAGGTGGAAGGGGTGGTGGGGCCATGTCCTGATGGGAAAGAGGCCTGGGGAGCACGCCTGTGCTGCTGGGACACCTTGCCCTATTCCCCCGGGGAAAGGGCAGGGGCTGGGTAAGACCTTCCCTGTCTCTGGCCCTGCCACGGAGGCAGGTGCTGGCTGCACGGTCCTGCTACCACCGCCGGGGCAAGTCATTCGCCCGGCTGAGAGTCACGGGTACGGACAGCACAGGGTGCCAGGACGGCTCGGCGAGGCAGCTCCTCGTTGGATCCGAACTCATCGGCTGTCCTTGCTGCCGTAGCCGGCTCACACAGTGCCAGGATGCCGAGCCAGAGCCCCCGGCACGGCATAGCCAGGCATAAGGGAGTGGGGACACAGCCCTATACTGCACGTCACTCGCACCCAGTGCAAAAACTGCCTTGGAAAACATCACAGGTAAAAGCCACACCGGGGTAAGCATGTGTCTGCATTATCCTGGGGTAACTGCCTCTGCCAGGGGGTTTTACTGACAGCGGGCTGCCCCTTGCGACCTGGCCAGTGCTGGGGACTGCCCCTCCCCTGCTCCCCCAGGACGCAGCCTCCTGGGAAAGATGCTGCACGAGCATCACGGGTGCAGCATCGTTTGTTTGGCATCCCGGGATAAAGTACAAACCAGGGCACAACAGCTGCCTGTCCAAGCCCACTCACACCAAGCGGAGCAGCTGTCCAGGTGTGCAAGCTTGCCCCGAGCTGCTCGTGGCTGTGAACTGCTTGGCCCCTTGGCTGTCCTGCCGCTCTGAGCCGGGAGGCTCCAGGGACTCGCTGCTCTGCATTTATGCAGCCCCAGCACCTGCTCCTGCACCTACAGACCTGGGGCAGGGGCCTCCGAGCCACCTTGGCTGTGCTCTGGCCCCCCTTGCCGGCGGTCATGCTCTGACCCAGCACTGCATCGGGCCTGGGGGCCGGCATCCCGGATGTCAGGTTCCCTCCCTACCTCGTCTCCCGTAGCTCGCAGCGGCCCTGGCCGTGGGGCAACTCTGCAGAAGATTAGCCCCTTCCCTGCTGGCGTCCCCGTGAACGCACCCGGCGTGGGCAGAGCCAGAGGCGCCGGCAGGGAGGGGGGTCATAGACAGAGGGTCCAGCCCTTCCCCGGGCGTCTCTCATTCTGGTGTGAGGAGCTGGGGCCAGGAGCTGAGAGCCCCCCATGGCGCTCCTGGGGCTGGCGCCCGCCTGCCCACCCGGGGACCTTGCTGAGAGCAGCCAGGCAAGCGGTGCCTGCGGCGCCTGCAGCGCGCTCCACCCGCCGTGGCACGGGACAGCCCCAGCCACACGTGCCCCCTTTGCATCCGGCCCTGGGTGACGGCACGTGGAGCAGGAGCTGCCAACCCACAGCACTTCCCTGTCCCATGTGTCATGGCCACGACTGGGGGCATGGTCCTGGATGCCAGTGCCACGCACAGCCACTGCCACTGAGCCCCCGGCCCGATGGGGGCACGGACAGCACTAGGCTGAGCAGCGCTGGGGCCTGGGAGACCCCAGACCCACATTCAGAGGCCATGGCATGGGCAGGGGATGCAGCGTCTCAAGCACTCTTGCACTGTGCGAGCGCAGCCCCCGGCCCACGTGAGCTCACGAGACCTCCCTGCCCTGTGCGAGCACATAGCGTGCCATGCCCTGTGCGAGCGCACCATCAGAGGAGCAGGGCTGAAGGGACCGGCAGAGGTCATCTTGTGTGACCCACAGTGTCGCACGCCCCGTGCGAGCGCACACACCTCGCTGCTGCAGCCGGCACGGGGAAACGTGCTGTTGGGGCTGGGAGCTGCCTCAGGGTCCCCCGTGCCGGCAGGGTGGGACCGGACGGGGCAGGGCTTGAGCCAGGACCCGCTGGGGCAGGGGTGCGATGCCAGCCCTGCTCTCGTCCCTGCGCTGGCTCCTCCAGAACCAGAGCCGGAGCCGGAGC